TGGCTGGTATTACTATGGGTATTACTATGTAAGAGACAGGTATTGTGCTTTTCAGTCCTTTGATGTGGTTCTTGTCCTAGTATAGAGTAATTTCTTCACAGATGTATTATGTACTGAGCAGAATTTTGTTGAATACTTGAGGTAGAACTTGAACAGATCTCAAAAGGTCTTTTCTCTATGTAGTTCTGTCCTATATTCTGGCTTATGAACTCTATTCACCTAGGTTTACTCAAACTGCTCTGTCTCCTGCTCTTAGGGCTTTTCTTTTGGGTCTTGAGGAAATGGAGGCATTAAGAGGATTAGTAACTTGCCCAAGGGTCACATAGCTAATACGTTAGTGAAGTTAAGATTCAAATTCAGACATACTGGCTTCACAGCCCAAGTTTTTAATTGCAGCATACATACTTCAAAAGGAAAGCAAAACAGAATAAAATTTCTCTTACCTGCATTATTTTTCTTCAATTTTTGTGGGTTTAAGTTTAAACATTTAGACACAAATAGACTTCTGATTAAGATTTTCACTAAACATTTATTGAACTTATACTGTGTGTCAGGCATTGTTCTGTGGGTATGAGATTAAGATACAAGGCCTGTCTTCAAAGTGGTTGCTTCTGTTTGTTTCTAGTTTAAGCATAAGTATTACCATCTTCATATTTATACATGTGTTGCATCTTTGGGAAAGTGAGAGATACTAGTGTGCTCAACAAATATAACATAGAATCTATTGTATTTGCTGCCCTATTCAGGAGTGTTATTTGGTGTTCTAATTCACATCATTTTTCTATTTTGAAACATCAACAATGATTCTTAATTGGAGCACTAACCTTACAAGGAATTCTATATTCTTTTTAAATATTCTAGGCTCTTGCCCAAGGTCATATAGGTAATAAATAATAGAGCTGGAATTTGAACTTAAGTTTGTCTGAAAACATGATTTTCATCATTATATTCTTTTTTAAAAAGTGGTCTTTAAGATTTAAAATTTGAGATAGTTCATTCCTTCCATTTTTAAAAACTAGTTCTGTTAATGTTGACCTCATTGTCTACTCATTAATTATTACTTAATTTGTAGAATTAGAGTGTGTTTTCACTTTTTATTAGTTTATGATTTATAATGAATACATTCATCATGGGTGATTGGTGCATATACATATCACATCTTGGCCTTTTTCTTCCCTTTGTTCTACTTCTCATCCCCCATCTCTAGATCCTCCTCTCATCTCCACAAAGTCTGTCCCCATTTCCTATCTTCTTTTATTTTGCTCTTTAAATTATTTATACTCTTCATATAAGAGAAACCATTCTGTGATTTATTTCACTTAGCATTATGGTCTCAAGTTGTGTCAATTTCCCTACAAACGAATCAAATTTATCTTTGTTTATAGTTGAGTAAAAATCCATTGTGTATAAATACTATGTTTCCCTTATCCATTTATCTGTTGATGAGCATATAGGCTGCTTCCAAGATTTAGCTCTTATGAGTTGCACTGTTAAAAACAGGGGCATACATGTATAAAAATGAATTAAGAGTATAGATTGGACATTTATTAAATAAAATGTACTGTGTTGTTCAACTTGTTTACATATTTACTAATTTTAAAATCTACACTATTAATAATTGGAACAATGATTTTAAAATGTATGTTACTCTATCACTGTCAAGGTCAATTTTTGAATTTCTCTCTCTAGGTGTACTTAATTCTCCCTTACATATTTAAAAATAACTTACTGGTGCATACAGGTTTATTATCTCTATTTAGATATTTTCTCTATCATTGGAAATGCTTTTGTTGTCTTAAAGTTTTACTTTTAGATACCAATATTGAAACTTCAACTTTCTTTTGGTTAGCATTTACCTGGTCTATCTTTTCTACCTTTTTTTAAAACTTTTTCCTTGATTTGTGTTTTAGCTGTGTCCCTCATAAATGTAAGGGTAAGTTTTGCTTATATATGTTTTTAAATATTCATTCATGAGATTCTGGGAAGATGGCAGAACAGTAAGCAGCAGATTACATAGCCTCTCTGAGAGAAACAGTCCAGATGCTGGAATATAGCATTCTGGAGAAGACAAGAAGAAGGAAAAGAAGTGGGTCCCCTTAACCCAGAAAGAAACTAAAGTGAGAATTGAAGCCCACTGAGAGAATAAAAAAAAAGAAAGAAAAACAGAAGAAGGTGGTACTTTCACCAGAGCTGGAAGCCCCATGACAGAAGTGCTGTTGGAACCCAGAGACACATGGGCACAGTGAAGCTGGTGGTTAGCAAGCCCAAAGGCCTTGGCAGGGAGACATGGCGGTGGAGGGGAGCAGCAGACCAGAGAACTGCACTGGCTGGCTGTGAGTGTGGGGGATTCAGTTCTCTTGTGGGAGTGGGAGGTTGGCCAGGTGCCATTTTGGAGTTGGGCAGGATAAGCCTGGAGACTGAACTGCAGCAAGCTTTGTTCAGTCATTCCTACCTCGGAGCAGACTGGTAGAAATTGCTTGGATTGAGTCCTGCCCCTCTGCGTGGTCCAATGGCCACTGCTGAGATTTCCCTAACCAACCCCACTGGCCTGGTGCACACTAAGGTGGTGAAGACTCCCTGTGGTTAGTCAGAAAGGAGAGGCCAGCCTGCCCCACCCCTGCTTACACTCCAGTAGCCAGCAACAGACTATGGAAAGCAGCAAACAGCAGAAATACGTAGCCAACACACTTCAGAGTAATTATAACCAGGGACCCTGCTACCCACTTGTCCAGAAGAAACCAGGAACATGACAAGAGGAAGAAGCAAAAGGCAGTCTCAAGCCTCCAACCCAAGTAGTACTGGTCCTAGAGATATAAACCCAGAAGAGATCGTGAGTTGCACACCTGCAGTTTTTGAAGCAATAGCAACGGAAATAAAGAAACAACTCCATGAAGCTATAAAAGAACTTAGAACAGAAATACTATTACAGGCAAAAGAAGAAATGAGAAACATAATAAAAGAATTGATAATCACTTCTCAAGAAGACACAGATGAAAGAATAGAGGAGGCTAGAAAAATGAGGGACACCTTCAATGAAGAAAATAAAAAAATTTAGAACCCATGAAATAAATTCAAAGAGATTACCAGGAAATTAAAAACTCCATTGAAAGCTGGCAAAACTACTTGAAAGAAACTAAAGATAGATGATCAGACCTTTAAGACAGGTTTGCAGCTTGCAATCATGAAAGGAAAGACCTCTTAAAAATAACAAGGAACCAGGAAGTAACAATACAAAGATTAGCAGATGACAAGAGGATCTATAACTTAAGAATAAAAAAACATGAGTGAAAAAGCAGGGATAAACACAAAATGAGGCATACAGAACTCCAGCCAGCTACAACCAAAATAGACCTACACCCAGACATATAATACTCAAGATCCCAGAAATTTAACACAAAAACAGAACATTAAAAGCTGTCAGAGAAAAGAAACAAATCACCTATAAAGGAAAACCCATCAGAATCACAGCAGAATTCTCGACACAAACCATCTAATCAAGAAGAGCTTGGAGTGAAGTATTCCAAATCCTGAAAGAAAATAACCTGCAACCCAGATTGATGTATCCTGAAAAACTATCTCTCAAAATTAATGGAGAAACAAGATAATGAAGGGGAAAAGTAGACAACCAACGGCAGAAATATAGCATGGTAGAGATGAGGCAGAGAAGGTTGGCCATAATTGCTGACGTGGATGGCCTTGATACAGTAATAAAAAGAAACACAGGCAGAGTGGATAAGGAGATAGGGTCTATCAGTATGCTCTATATAGAAATACAATTAACTGGAAAGAGAGTTTATAGTCTGAATCAAAGATGAGAAAACAATGCTCTGTGTGACAGGGAACCAGATAACAATGGGGGTATCTTGCCCATCAGCTGCAGATTGGCTAGAAAGCCATAATAATTTTATACAATGGAAAACTACTCAGCTATAAAGAAAGAAAACCTTGAGGCTCTTGAAGGTAAATGGATACAGCTTGAGATCATGCTCAGGGGTAAAGAGGTTCAGAATCATTTAGGCGAATAGCGGGTTGCCTCTGTAGTCTAAAAACTAAAGGAGTTAGTGGGATGCAAAATGTACACTGCACCCTGTGAAAGTGAAAGGGGAAGAATTGTCTAAAAAGGGAAGGCAGTGGCCATTGTTAGTCTTTTATCATGATTTGCAACTCACATTGTTTTCATGGTTCTGTTTAGTTTGATTTTATTCTGTTCCACTTTGTCTACTTGTATTAGATTTGATGGCATGGACAGGTATTCCAAAGATAGCAGGATATATTATGGTAACCATTTTTGATTTCCTATTAACTTGATTTGAAGCCCTGTATTGCTTTCACTGTCTTGTTTTGACTGATTTTATTCTTTCTTGTTTGATAGTATCAAGTCTGAGGGCATAGGCAACTACTTTGAAGATAATAAGATTCACATGATACCCATTCTAGTTTGACCGTTATCTTCTTTTGAAGTCCTGTAATGTCTCCAATGTTTCATTTTTATTGATTTTGTTCTGTACTTTTTTGTTCAATTTTATTATTCCTGATGATATGGGCAATTCTTTTGAAGATAGCAAGAGGCATTATGGTAAAAATATTCATTGATATATTTAAATTTGTTTTTATCATCTTTTGTTTCTTATTTATTTCCCCATGCTTCTCCTTGCCTTTTAGTATTTGTTCTTATTCTGTTTTCTTCTTCTCACTGCTGTTTCTGTAAGATTCTATCTCAAATGAGCTGGCTGAGGCAGGGTTAGTGTTGGACATAGTAGATGCTATGCTGAATGATCCAACCATTTCCTAGACCAATGAATAACTTCTTGAAAAATCAAAGCCTGTTCATTTTCAGGGTGTGATTCAGTTGGGAGTAGGAACGGTAAATAGATTAGATGCTTTCCCTTTGTCTATGTAGCCTAGCTTAATGGAGAAGTAGCCTACTGAAAAGCTCTTAGAGCTGAGAACTTGTTCTGGAATAAATCATCTATGTAAAAGTAGTTGTTCTTTTATTTCAGGTAACTTTTGTAGTTCTCCTTCTTTGAATAAAGAGTAGAAGAAAAAGTAGACTACGTCATGTCGGAGATACTAGACCTCTCTTTCTTGTCTGAGATGGAAAGGGATTTGATCATTAATGTCCTACAGCGAGATGAGGAGCTCCGGAAAGCAGATGAGAAAAGGATTAGGTGAGTTCCATAAAAAGTATAGAACCCCAGGCCTTTTATAAATGGTCTGTAGGATTTTTCCTTATGCCTATCAGAGAAACTTGTGTGCATTATATTTAGTACTCCTTGTGAGTCATTAGACTCTGAGTTTGCTACTTTCACAGAGCCAATTATTATTACTGCCTTTACACACAACTCTTTTTCATATAAACTATACATGAATTTACTTGGGTTTCACTTTTGGGTCTTGACAGGCGACTAAAGAGTGAGCTACTGGAGATCAAAAGGAAGGGGGCCAAGAGGGGCAGCCAACACTACAGTGACTGGACCTGTGCTCGGTGCCAAGAGAACCTGGGCCGTTTAACTCCCAAGACCAACACTTGTAGGGGTTGCAATCACTTTGTGTGTCGGGACTGCCGCGTCCAGGAAAGCAATGGCACCTGGAGGTGCAAGGTGTGCACCAAGGAAATGTGAGTGTTGCCTATGAGTGAGTCAGAGAAGAGATAAGATCTGGCTGTGGTATGAATTTGTCTCCTCAGACTTTGTTGGTTGAATGACAAGAGTTATTCTTTACTCATCTGTCATTTTCTTTTATTATTTCCCAGAGAGCTAAAGAAAGCAACCGGAGATTGGTTTTATGATCAGAAAGTGAATCGCTTTGCTTATCGCACAGGCAGTGAGATAATCAGGATGTCTTTGCGCCGCAAGCCTACAGGTATTGGGCCTGCTTATGGATGGTTTCATGCTGTGTTTAACTCCACTGATAGATCCTCTGTTGTGGAATTGTAGTGTGTTCTAGCTGGTTATGTCTTAGCTCCATAAGCTCACCTCTTCCCCTTTTTTTGCGGGGGAATGTAAAACATTGTATTGCTTTTGCAAGCATGATGTGTTGTGGAGAAGATGCTAGGAGGGTGGATGCTGTTTCCTGCCTTTATCACCTCCACCCTGACATGATTTTGTTTGTCTTGAAGTGAGTAAAAGAGAAACAGTGGGACAGTCCCTCCTTCATCAGACACAGATGAGTGATATCTGGCCAGGAAGAAAGATCATTCAGGAGCAACAGAAAGAGCACAGGTGAGAACCAAGTGGCTATTTGTTTTAAGAAATGCTATGATACTACTTTATTATTGTTTTTACTTTCTTCTGTTTGTAAAATAACAGATGGCTCAAATAGAGGGATAATATCTAGAATATACAAATAATTTTTAAAAATTAGACTCCCAAAATAAAAGGCTCAGTGAAAAAAAGGGCAACTAAACAAATAGACGCTTCTTAGAAAAAAAGTATAAAAAGATAATAAATATATGAAAAATGTTCAACTTCACTGACCAGTAGAGAAATGCAAATTTAACCATGCAATATTTAAGCTTGTATACTTTAGTTAGTTCACTTAATGTTATGGTCTCAAGTGTATGCATTTTTCTACAGATGTCTCAAATTTATCCTTCTTTATAATGTAGTAGTACTCTATTGTATAAATACCACATTTTTATTATCCATTCAACTGTTGATGAACATATAGTTTGCTTCTAAGAATTAGCTATTATAAGTTGTGCTGCTGTAAATGTGGATATGCATGTATCACTGAAATATTTTGGAATTTCTAGTTTTTCTTTCTTTTTTAAGGAATCTCCATACTTATTTCTGTAGTGATTGTACTAGCTTACTTTCCCCCCAACAATGTAGAATGGTTCTTTTATTTCCCCACAATTTCTCCAGAATTTGTTATTATTTGATTTCCTGATGACCGTTATTCTTTTTTTGGGGGGTAAAATAGAATCTCAGTGATAGTTAGATTTGCATTTCTTTAGTAGCCAGGGATGTAGGACAGTTTTTCATGTATTTATTGGCTATTTGTACTTTTGAGAACTGTCTATTGACTTCAGTTTCCCATTTATTGTTTGGTCTTTTATTTTGATGGATCTGTTTTTTTAGTACTAGTCCAAAGTGTAGCTGGCAATTTTTTTCCCATTCGGTAAGTTGTGTTGGTTTTATTTGCTGGGTAGAAGTTTTTGTTTTGGTGTAATCCTAATTGTTGATTCTTGATGTTATTTCTTGTGCAATTGGGGTTCTGTTTAGAAAGTCCTTACCTATACCCACAACTTTAAAAGTTTTACCCATTTTATCCTTCATGAGGTTGTTATTGTTTTAATGTTTAGATCTCTGAACCACTTTGATTTTAGTTTAGTAGTTCATGAGTAGTATAGTCCTGATTCAGCCTTTGGTCTTCTGCACACGAGTAGCTATCTTTCCTCTTGAGTAGTTTTTTGGTCCCTTTGTCAATGATCAGGTGACTAAATGTGCTAGGTGGTTTTCTATACCTTCTGTTTTACTTCATTAATCTACATGTCTGTTTTTATGTCAGTATCGTGATGTTTCTATGATGTGTTATGATGTTTTGGAATTGTGATGCCTCTCACTTTGCTCTTGTTACCTAGTATTTTTTTTTTTTTTGTCTTTTTCCTTTTTATCGGTACCGGGGATCTAACCCACGACTGCCTGCTTGCAAGGCAGGCGCTTATGCCGCTGAGCTAAATCCCCAGCCCCCTTGTTACCTAGTATTGATTTTGGTATTCTGGGTCTTTTCTTATTCTACATGACTTTTAGGACTGTTTTCGCTATTTCTGTGAGGAATGCTATTGTTATTTTGATTGGAATTATAAAAAGTCTATATCAGTTTTATCAGTGTCATCATTTTGGCAGTGTTGGTTTTGGTATCATGAAATAGAAGATGTCTTCATTTTCTGATATTCTTTTTGATCTTTTTCAAGGTACTCTAGTTTTTATTGTAGAGACTTTTCGGCTCCATGGTTAGGTTAATTCCTGTTTTTAGTTTTTCTTGATGCTATTGTGTATGACACTGTTTTCTTAATTTATCTCTCAGTTCATTACTGGAATACAAGATACTATTAATGTTTTCTGAAGACAAATTTTATTTAAATAAATGATTAATTAATTATATAGTTTCAAATGAAGGAAGAAAGAAGACTAAAAACAATTTGATACTTCATAGCTTTGTGTTGCTGTTACTAGTAAGTTATAAGCTCTAGAGCGGGCTACATGTCAGTATCAGGGTTGTGTTGATTTCCTTGTCAAAAGTTAGACTGGTATCAGGCTGGCCTCACATCCTGTGGTTTGGTTGTCCCTTAGCTAGGATGTCTGGTCTGAAAAAAAACCTTGATGGTGAGGCAGATGTCTTGTCGCATTGCTAGAGGAAAGATAATTTCTGAGTTCTGTTGTTCGGGTTATCCATTAAGGCTATTAACTACCAAAGACTCCCTGTAGTGGCACAGCTGCTGATGTTGCCTTACCCGATCTTCTGATTCAAGTGGGTTGTTCAGGTGGGGCTATTCTCTTAGGACAGGGATCTATACGAGGCAGAATGGAGGAGCTTCTTGTCAGACCTAGCTGTTTGTGGTCTTAGAGTTCCGGGCTCAGCTGAAGCATTGTATTATTGCTTTTTCAGAATAGACACTGCCAGGCACCTACTACTTGAACTCTGTTCAAATGAAAGACAGCTTGAGTCTTTTTAGTTTTCTACATGAAAGTATTATACACTAATCCAAATGAAAGTGGATCCAAAATGGCTACATTATGCAAGCTGTATGGTTTTTAAAAAAATTGTAACAAGGAACAGAAAGGACATTCTACTCATTGCAAGGAAATCTTCACTTAAGCTTCAAGGAGCCATAAATGCTTAAAACATTTAAAACTTCATGGATTGTCCTTAACCAGGCCAGTCTCTATTGGGAACTGGCATATGTTCTTGCACTGGTCACCCTGGAGCTGGATTACTTCTCTGTATTCTGGGTGCTCAACTACAGTACAATTGCAGACAAATTTCTTTTTAAATGCCTTCACTGGTTTCTTTTTATCATGATCATCAGTGATCCTTTGGGCAGTAGTAAGGGTCCTCCTTCCATTTCTCTGTTAAATTCTTACATGAATACAATTCTCAGTGTGCAAGAAGCAGAGCTTCACCCTTACTTGCATCAGCAAATGTGTCAAAGTATGGAAATTTCTAACTAATGGACTCGTGGTTCCTTTTCTTTGGTGGAAGTGGGCTATGGTAGAAGGTGGATTGAGGGGGTCAAGCACCGAGAAAGGGAGGACTCTTGAAGAGAGGCTGTTGAGTCCTTTGTGGTGGCTCATGATTGACTGATTTTTTTGTGCCTTGCTTGATGTGTTCATCTAACTTTTTGGCTTTGTTGTCTTCACTGTCTCTGTCTAGGTTATTCTTGGGTAATTTCTTGGATTTTTTTTTTGTTTTGGATGTTTATAAATTTTGTAAGGTGGACTTTGTCATGGAATGTCTTCATTTCTCTACCAGTTTTGAAAGATCATTTTCCAGGACATATGAGTTTGGGTTGGAAGTTGTTTTCTTTTTGGGCTTGAAACACTTAACTCCAGCCTCTCTTGGCCTTCAAAGTTTTCATTGGAAAGCTTGCTGTAACCCTAGTGTGTTTATAAGGGATTTTTGCTTTTAAGATTCTGTCTTTGTGTTGGACTTCTGAGATTTTTTTTTATTTAGAGAAAAAAAAAGCAAAACAGAAAAAGGGTAGAAATAATACAGAATTTTAAAAAAAGTAAGAAATCACTAGTTGATACATTACATATTGTTATCTTAGAAGTAGTTGCTCAAGTCACAAAATCAAAGCATAAAATATAGACAATCAGTGACAGTACAAACCATTCTGTTTAATGAAGTAACAAAAACTTAGAGTGTAGTTATCTATATAACATGTCATTGAGAGTTTCTTTTCTCATCATAGTTCCTTGGTGTTCTATAGGACTCGCTTGATGATATGGTATGCTGAGGTTTTTGAGGTTTCTCTATAGACTTCGAAAGTTTTTTGCTATGATTTCTGTAGAGTTTTTGTGCTATATGTGTTGTCCTCTAATTTCTCTGTAACTACAGTTATCCTTAGTCTTCTTAGTATCATCTAATAGATGTTCAGTGAATTTTTCTTGTTCTCTTATTGTTTTTAAAGTGGTTCTTTTAGTATACCATCAAGTCACTTCATATTGCCCTTGATTTTTAAAGCCTTATCTTCACATTGGTCATTTCTCTTTATGAATTCAATAGTGGGCTGGGGATTTAGCTCAGCGACACAAGTGCCTGTCTGAATTCAACAGAATTCTTTATCTCCATGGATTTCTATTTAACTGTGTTGTTTGGAGTCTGTTTTTTGGTAAATTTGTTATTTTTTATGTCATTATGTTTTGCACTTTTTCACCAGCTCTTCCAGTTTTTTTTCTATTTTTCCCTAAACATGTTGGTTAGCTTGTTTCACAATTCCACCATGTTTTAGATTATGTCCTCTTTGAGCTTACAGTTCAGCTGTCTGTTATTTGTTTTTCTCTGCATTGATGCCTTTTGGATCTGTTTTGGGAGATTTGGGCATATTTGGAGGTGTTTTGTTGCCTTGAGTTTCCATATTACTATTTGTGTGTGTGTGTGTGTGTGTGTGTGTGTGTGTGTGTGTGTGTGTGTGTGCGTGCTGAGGATTGAGGTTAAATAGAGTGAAGAGAATTTGTTGTTGGCATGAAGATTTTTTTTATTTAAAGAAAAAAGAAAAAAATAAGACAAAACAGAAAAAAGGGTTACATTCTGTTTTTCAGTGATGTGTTCTTTGTTCTATTTGTCAAGAGGTATTATTTACCACTTGAACCTACTCATCTTAATTGACTTTTACTCTGTCCATATAAAATGGGTCAAGAAATAATAGGTATCACTTATCATATTCTCTCATTCAGGCAAAATGACCTGTGACTAGGACCACAGGACTCCTCATGAGAAGAAATACCTGTTGGCATCTTCATTTTTAAATAGGTTTATTCTTGTTCAAAAGATTAGGGTTGACAGAATCACACCTGCTTTGTTCTTGTTTGAAAATTGTTTTTTATAGATTCCAGAATAGAAAAAAATGGCTTTCTCTTTATAGCTCGCCTCTACCACTTTTAAAAAGGTATCTGGATATGGAATGTCATGCCCATTACTGCCACCTTAGAATCAGATATATTTATGCTGTATTACATCTGATTGTATGGTGCCCTGCTCCTACTAAAATTTC